TAAGACTACCTAAACACTTACTAATTGGTTAAATGTGCTGTCTACATTAATTTCTCTTAAAAGTAAAGAAATTAAAGGTCCACTTTTGAGTTTTTTTGCTATGTCTGATATATTTTCAATGTATTCGATGTTTCAGAAAAGGTGCTTGTCAGGTTCTTAAGACATTTGAAAATGGCTCAAGGGACAATATATAGCCCTTTTACCTTTAACATATTCACTATCTTGGAGTTTGTTGAATAGATTCAGCTGTTCTTTCCTTCTTTTGAAACTCTTCCCTTATTCAAATAACTTAACTAAAGGATCTAAGATATTATCAATATAAAGAGAAAAACATTTATTTCGTACACATATGGAAATATAAAAAAGAACAAGTATTTCAGGCAGTGGAAGTAAAGTTATTCGGTAAAATTTCTTTTTTTCTTTTTTCTTGAGTATGTATACGTGTATGTGTAACAGGTAATTTTTCATATATTTTAATTTTCAAAGAACATTATTGTAAATAAAAAGATTAATAAATTCCTAGAAGGAACCAATATTACACAGTTTGATAGGCAAATGATTATTGAAACAAAACTTAAAAGATAGTTATAGTTATGTTTCAGTTATCTGGCTTTTCCAATCTCAAAGATAGGCACATTACATTTAATTTGCCAAATAACAATTTAATCCCGAGGAAGAAAATTTTCAGAATACCAAAACAAAATGTATACAATAACAACCAGGATCCTGTTAAAAATAAAGGAACACCCCCACCTTTGCATAATATTAAACCATAGGCAATCCTTAAATTTTTAAACTATATTGATAAAAGCAAATTCACTTGTTTAGCTATGTCTGATTAAAATATTTTGGTTATAATTAATATACAGATATAGAAATTTATCAGTATTAGTTCACATTTATAAATCATTTTCCAAAGCAACTAAATTCCTTATAACAAATAGCAAAATTAGGCATATAAATTTCAAATAAGAATCTCAATCTATGAGGTTTTTCTAACTGATATACAGATTTTGAGCATATAATATCCTTAGATTGTTCCTGTAAATTGGTATAATTTAATTGTAGCTTTAGAAAAAGGATGTTCAACAGATAGTATTTCTAAGGCATTAAAAAAGCTCAGTACAACCAATTCAAATTAGATATTGTGCTGTGCCCTATCTAAAGACTCCCTAAGGAATTACAGATTTTATACTTGTGCACTGAGAGTGCATTTTCTAATTCAGACAAGTAACTAGTTATGTCAAACCAAACCTGAAGAAAGTTTTATATCTCCCTTTCTGAGAGAATCTCCCCCACCCCCCACAATACCAACACTTTTATTTAGGTTAACAATAACCATAACTTGAAGTGTCCAAACAACCTGATTAACTCAATGCTCTAAAATAAGTGGAAGAAATACCCTTTTCCTTCACTTTTACAGAAATTGAATTTATCTAAAAGAGTCATTTATTTTAAAGACATAGCCTAATTCTGACTACTTATAGTCAATGTAACTGTCTTGAGTCAAAAGACAATAAAAATGTAAGATAAACTTCAAAGGTTTTATAAGTATTAATAGCATTCTAAAAATCTCTGGACAGAAGACTATTTTGGGGAGGAACAAAGTTTCTCTTCTGTATTGATAGCTTAATCACTTTCCAATCAATTTGATTTAACAGCAGTTTGTGGGATTAATTTTTAATGACTTCTTATAAAGTTGTAATTGCTTCCAAAATCAGAAACCACAAGATGATGTTCTCAAACACTACACCGATGTAATGCTGTTATGGAGGTATTTACAGAAAGGTGCAGATAAGAGCTCAGTTGTGAACACAAGTTAACATACAGTGGACTCCAAAATAGTAATTTGTTTGGATAGTATGGCAAGAAAAAATATTCTGAATAAGCAGCATAAAAATCTAGCTGTATTTTTAAATCTATTTTTATAAATCATAAAAACAAAGGAAAATAAGGTATTTATTCTAGAAACTCCATATACCTGTGGAAAATGGAACACAAGTAATTTTTATTCAAGATTAACCTTAATCCCAAATAGAGTAGAGCTAACAATTTACATATTTAAGATTTTGAAAGTATTGTAGAAATTGACACCATTAGAGGTGACATTAGTTTGTGCTCAGTAAACATTTTGTTAAATAACACAAGTAAATTAACTTAAGATGCAAACTGATAGGTCTCAGGATTTAAAAACCTTGTAATTTCAAAGGCACAGAATTACAGCACATGTATAGGATGGGCTTTAAAAATGGGTATACGTAAACTTTTCCATGGTGTTGGTGTTGTTTTTTTTCCCCCCTTAAAGTGCTTACAGTGTTAAAGAATCTCCATCACCCTGTCTACAGTTTTCAACCAGAAGTCCTCACTGTACCTTAAGCCAAATTGAATATTAGGTATTTTACAGCTTTTTACAAAATGGCTGTAAAATCACATTATGGGCATACACAGCTCTTTGATCTCACTGCACAGAATTCATAACTGTTCAATAATGCTATACCATTACACCACACACCTTAAACTATTTCCATTTTTCCACAATTCCTTCCAAAATCAGCTTCCAAAGCAAAGCAAAGGAACATGAAAAAGTTCCTGGGTGGGGGGGCTGGTGACACAAAAGAACAATTTGGAGACAAACTAATCTACACAATATCCATCTTCTGTTGAGCTTGTTTACCCCTCCTTGCCCTCCATCCCTCCTCAAGGTGGGCGCACTTGAGTCATGGAAAGAAGGCTCGTCCATCCCCACACACCCTCCCCAGCACCTCTGCTCCTGGTCCTCAGACAGGGACTCTGTGGAGGTGATGAAAACCATAGGAAAAGAGCAGCTGTCCCTTTAAAATGCCCTGCTCTGTCCCATATCCCACGTGGAACCAACATCAGCAGCACTTTCCCATTAACTTCAATGTGATGCAAGAGGCACCATGCCTTTATATACATAAAACCAGAAAACATCCAGCTTCACACTCTCTGCTGAGGATGAACAGGTGAAAGCAAACGTGTCAGGGAGGGAGAAGCCGAGCAACTCCCCACCCCTCTCCAAAAGGTGCTCCAGCCTCGCACTCCAGCCTCTCAATCACCTCTCCTACCCCTCCTCTGGAGAGCTTAGTTTAAATAAAGGAGGGAGCCACGAACAAAACCTGAAGCAGAAATGCGACGAAAATGCCATCTAAAGCCGGAAAGGTTTATTCTCCCAATCACACATATTAACTCTATTAAGAAAAAATGGCATCACTTTTTTCCCCCCACCAACTCCCCCCCCCCAAAAAAACAGCAAAGATCACGAAAAGAGAGTTATAAAATTGCAAATAGAGTGTTTATCTTATCTCAGATCAGCCCCCATTACCAATAAGTTTAGCAGTTTCTGCACTACCACCTCCCCCCCCTCCCTCCCCCTCCTTCTCTTGCATCGGATTTTCACGTTTTCTCATTGTCGGTTGAGTTATAAAAGGCTTTTGCCCTTCGAAAGTTTTAAAAAAATAAATAAATATTAACTCCTTGGTCCCTGCGAAGTCAAAATGGACTTCAGGGGAAAGGCGGTTCGTGCTTTTACCTTTAGCGAGAAAAGGGGGAGCATCCCGGACTTTTAGGGATTTTTTGCGATTTTTTAAAAATTTTTATTTGGTTATATGCCTGAGTTCTCCCTCCATTTTGGTTGTTTATGATACTGACAACAAGCTGTCCCTGCTCTGTGCAGATCTCCTGCTTTCATTTAGCACCCCCTCCCCCTACCCCCCCTCGCAGCCACCCAGCCGGGGCTCACACCTCCCCGAAGACCCCGCGGCCGGACCCCGGCTCGCCCACCTGAGGAAAGGGCAAAAACAAATTCATTTCGCCAAAAAAGAAAAACCTCTTTTGAAAAAAAGGGGCAAAGTTACCCCAAGTCACTCAAAGTGCCCCCCAAATATTGCCGACCGCGGGTTTCCGCCAGGCCCTTTGGGAAGCGACCTTCCCCCGGGATGTTTTGGTGGAAAATGCGGAGAGTTTACTCTTAAAACTGAATTTATATTAATTTTTCCCTTATTTTTCGGGTCTCTAATGTCTTCCGCTCTCGCTGCTGCCGCTGCCGCTGTCACAATATTCACAGCACCAGAGAGGAGGAGGAGGAGGAGGAGGAAAACTTTTCAAACTTTCCAGACCCTGAATAAAGGTTTTTTTTTTCTTTTTTTTTTTTTTCCCACCGACCTCACCTTTGGGTCTCCAGCCGCATTGCCCCCTGCCCTGTCAGAAGCCACTTCGGGAGACCTCACACCCTCCATTAATTATTTTATTTTATTTTTTATTATTATTTTTCTCTCTGGGGTCCTGAGCAGGGGCTGAGAGTAGCACAAACTTTTCCTCCTCCGGCCGCCGCCGCTGTTCCTCTGCCCCCTCGGCTAGTCCCATAATTTAAATAACCCTGATATTTCTCCCGCTAAACGCCTCTCCGCCGCCCCGGACCCCGGGAGAACTCACCGCGGGGCTTTAACATCCTCCCTCCGGCCCGTCCGCCGCCTTTACACCGCCCGCGGAATTTCTAATAATTTTTTTCTCATATTTCGGGCTGGACGCGGCGGGCCTGGAAATTGTTTCCTTACGCCTCTTTCCAGCAGCCATTGTAGTGTATGCGCTGCCCCTGCAGCCCAACCTCCAGCTGCCGCCACCGCCGCCGCCGCCGCCGCAGTGGATCTGCCCTGGCAATTTGGACCCTCATTGTGCCCCAGCCTCAGCTCCGATGAGCTCCCCACAGCTCCCCGGGGCGCAGGGCACTGAGGATAGATGCCACCTGGCCTGGCCCGTGGGTGTGAACGCTGGGCCCAGACCCGGCTCTTCCGTTTGTTTCTCCATCCCACACCAGAACCCATCCGTCTACAAGGGCCAGAATCAGAACTAGCAAAGAAGTGCTATTAACTTCTCTCCCAGAAAAAAAGCTTAAGGAAACTTTACAGACACTTCAGATGCTAGGAGAAGAGACGTAAACCTAGGTACTATGGCGACTCTAATGACAGGTCTAAGTGTGAACCAGCGGCCGCCGGGGAGCGGGGGCAGCATGTTAGGGTGCGCGCTACTTAAGGTCCAGCTGCGAGAGCTATTGACGTGTTTGGAGCTGGAGACTGTCGGGTCCCTGGCGGAGCGGCACCTCGAGGTGAGTGATCCCGCCACCCTCCTTCTGTGCCGCCTGCAGGGAAGGGGGAATCGAGGGCTGCACCTGAGCCGCCACGGGGCCCAAATACACTTCCGCGCGAAGCTGCTTCCACCAGGCCTCGCCGCGGCGCGGGCCCCTTCCCCTCGCTTCTCCTCCCCGCGATGCGGGTCTCTTCGGGCCAGGGACGAGGAAGGTGACCCGTGCCCGGGCCACCCCAGACGTTTCTCCAGCCTCCTTCCCAGCCTTTGAAGCGTGATCGCCTGCACCTACACCCAGTTTCCTGCGTTGTCCTCGCCCCCTGCCCCTCGGCACCATCGAAGGTGGAAGCAAGGTGTGTTCACCTGTGCCCGCCGTCCACGGTTTGACGGACGGGCTGCATCGCGGAAGGCAGCGAGGTCTCGGGCTTGCATCCCTCCGGCTTCTCCATTCGATTGCCCGCCTCCCCCCGGTATGCCACCCTGACTTCCTGACCCTGTCTCTCTGCACCCAGCGGTGGGTGACGGGCTTGAGGTCCTCACAGGACATTTCCCAGCTCCCCGCGAGTTGCATCCGCGCGTTGTCAGAACCACAGAGCCTGCCTTGGCTCTGACCAGCCAAGGGCCCTTCCCCCGTCCCTTTCAAAGCTACTTGGAGAGTGGGGATGTGATGGGAAGGAAATCAAATACTTTTGAAGGCAGGCTGCCCTTTAGGGGAGATTTTAGAGTTGTTCCTCAAATATGCTTGTGAGGCCCTTCCTTCAACTCGTTGGTTTTCTTTCTGGCAGGTAGAGCTGGGTAACTTTTGTCTGGTACCTGCAGACAGTAAGTAGACGAGGCCTCTCCCTAGTGGAACACTTGATCTTGCCCTTCAGCCCGCTCCTCGCTGTAAATGGACATTTCTAGTGGACACGTGAGGGATTTATGCAAAGAAGGTGCCATTCGGAAGTCCAGACTTAGACGGACGTGTGTGTAGAATTCGGAGAGGAAAGGAAAGGAAATGGGAATAAACTCATGCTGCAGACTTAATTCGGGTACATGTGATGTCATCTAGGTGTTATTTCTAAAGAACCCCTAATGATGATGACAAAATGGAGAGTAGGACGCTTTCACATAAGGCATGCAACCTGACTTTTGTCTGCGTCTGATCGTTGTTGAGATTATGTCCGAGGAATGTGAACAGCTAAGCAGAGGTCTGTGTTCTCACGCCAGAGGATAGATGTCAACAGCAAGGCTGTGCATTTAGTACCATCATTTCCTCTAGGAAGTCAAGCCTGGAAAAGAATTGTGTTCAGTAGACGAAGACACTTCTAGATATATTTGAACAACATCTTGAATATCCCTTTTGCCAAGATGTTTTTGTTAGCCAGTTATATTCATGTACTGTTCTATGAAAATCATTAAAAAAAAAAAAAAGCATTGCATCGTGGGTACGAATAGTTAAAAGACCCCAGAATGACTAAACTTTTTTCCATTCTTCTTTGCAAAGGTTGGTCTCTTTTAGCCTGGACAGCCTGATCATTCCATAATCGAAGAAACTGAACTAGGGGACTCTTGATTGAGAATACCTCCACTTTTCAGGAGCTTGTGGGGTTTATTTTTCCTGAATGTATTTTTTTTTTAACATGATATATTTTTTTGATGGTCCCATCTTGGACAATGAAAGTAGAAACCATTTCATACAAAAATTCTGACCTCTGTCTGGTTATACTGACTTAGATTTTTATTCTGTGGCATTTTGTAGGTCATACTACATTATTTGCTGTCCTTTTCTAGAACAGGTTTCAGGAATATAAATTAAGTCAGCTCTTTAAACTTAGTGCAGAGCATTTAAAAATATTTGTAGTCCAGCCTGTGTGGCTCAGTGGTTGAGCACTGACCTATGAACCAGGAGGTTACTGCTCCATTCCTGGTCGGGGCACATGCCTGGGTTGTGGGCTCAATCCCCAGTAGGGGGCATGCAGGAGGCAACCAATCTAGGATTCTGTCTCATCATTGATGTTCCTATCTCTCCCTCTCCCGTCCTCTCTGAAATCAATAAAAATATATTTGAAAAAAAAAATATTTGTAGATGGTTCATCCATGGTATACAATATATTGAAACAAAATCACTTTGAAATATTGTTTTTCTAATTTTTTCTTTTAGTTCCTATGACATGTCTTTGAAGATAATAGGCATACCAACTTCAGTTGAACTCATTTATAGAAAGCAATTGTCGTGGGATATAGTTGACATGCCAATTATATGAGTATATGATTTGGCTGGGAATAACTAATTGGCTCTTAGGGAACTGTTATCACTTTTAATCAATAAAGACTTCTGCAGGCTGTATCTGGAAGGTTTGAGTTGAAAGATTAATGAATGACAGTAGCATTCCCTGATTCCTTCAACCCAGAAGTATCAATTAAATATAAGATAATGCTGGAAGTCAGGTTTCAACTTTTTTAAAAAAAACTTTTTGAAATGTCAACTAAGCAATAACTTTGTTTTTTGGTATATTGGCACTGCAGTGCTGGCTACAGAATAGGCATCCATGTTCTTTAGTTAACAAATGTTTTTGCTGAAGTTGTGTTATACTAAATTATTCCACATTTATTTTGTATGCTAATCCTTTATGTAATAAGGAACTAATATGCTAATTGGACCAAACTGCAGAACGACCATCCGGACAACCTTCCGGATGAAGCCAAGGCTGCGAGGGCCAAGCCCCTTGCATGACGAATTTCATGCATCGGGCCTCTAGTCAATGTATAATAAGGAAGTAACTGTTAGAGTGCATGCTGTATTCTTAGGTTTTGTTAGTATAATTAATTGCTTAACCTTTAGAAATAAGAATAAACTAAAATTGAATGCTAGCTGAACTATCTTTCTCTTTGGACTTTATAATCAAATTTCGATAGATGTATTTAAATATCGCCTTTGCACTGAGGCACCATGGCAATGCAAAGGAAAAACATATCCAAGTCTTTTTTTTTTCAAAATACATAGGCTGTAGGAAGTTCCTCATTAGATAATCAATATGCCAGAAGTAATTTTCAAGCACTTATGGGGCTAATGAGATTTATTGATTTGTTTTATGTCATCCACTATATAACTCTTTTCCCCAACATTTCCTCCCTTCAGTAAGAAGACTGTTAGGATGCCAATGGTAGCACGAAGACTGAGAGATCCTGACATAAATCCTTGCTTGTTGGTAAGGTGGTTTGCTTTTAATTTTCATGAGTGTTAAGTTGGGAAAACAGGCTTCTTCTGATTTTGTGGGCATCTGTTTTCTTCAGTTCTTTTTAAAAAAATGTTTTTCTCTATTTGCTTTTTAATTTTAATGGGATTTTTTTAAATAAAGAACTTTTATATTTCCTACTCAGAAATCCAGTAAATATTCACTTCAATCTTTTTCTACTATGTCAATTATTGTTTTTTAATTAATTTAGTTATTTTTATTAAAGTATAATTGACATATATTAGTTTCAAGTGTACAACATAGTTATTCAACATTTATATACCTTATAATGTGATAACCACAATATGTCAAATATAACCATTTGTCACCATAAGTTATTATTGACTGTATTCCCTGTGCTATACATTACATCCCTGTCATTTATTTTATAACCAGAAGTTTGTACCTTCACCTTTTTCACCCATCCCCGAGCCCCCCTCCTTTTGGCAACCATAAGTTTGTTCTCTGTATCTAGCAATCTGTTTCTGTTTTCTGCCATTTTTTAAAAGTTATTTCTGTACAAAAAATATTTCTAACCAGTGTATCCTTATTTTACTAGAGCATTTTTAGATATGCATAATTTAGCTAACAAAGATTTATCTCCTTTAAGTTTTCCATATTTATATAATATGCAAGCATTTAATCATCACTATAATGTTAAACAGGCATATGTAACACTGAGGAAAATTTTTAGTCCAAACATGGAAAGTTGGAAAGTATGATATTTTAAAATTGTCACTGAAATGTATGTTTTAATAGCAATAATTTCATCATGTCCTTGAGACCACCTGGCTGAGAGAAAGGGGCTGATATAGAATTAGTCTATTAAACTCTAAAGGTTTTCACAAAGGTATATGAACAAAATGCTTTGTTGAATAATAAGCTTTGTTGGCATTTATTTGGTATGACTAGCAATACTTACTTCTGGTTTTGTCACCCTGGAATAATGTAAACATCAGACTAGTGCTATGAAAATGATATTCCCTAATCCTATATGGATTTTCCCAAATATACACATGCATTAATTATTTGGCATAGAAATTTAGATTTGTTCTGTATATTATGTTTTCAATTGCTTTATTAAGTCTCTTTAGATAGGATATATTTCTTAGATCCATGAAGCAAATTACCTACCCGTTTAGTTAAAGCTTTCCTTTAGGTAGTGACCTCTTAGAATCATACCTTTTTCTTTGAAGTTTGTTATCCAATCTACTTCCAGTTCAGACAGCTTGAATTTCATTCCCAAATGGCAGCTACCCTCCTTTGAACTCATAGCCCTGTGTTGCTCACTTGAGTTTTGAAGTGATCTTAATGATATTAAAATTGCTTACATGATAGTGTATTTACTTGCATAATGATAGCAAAAATACACTGAGATGAATGGTGTTAATTTAAGTTACCTTGATGTAGACCGGTTATTAGCATTTACTTAGGATCTCAAAACTAGCATTAACATCAAACATTCAAGTCAAAGTCAGACCTGGAAAAAGCAGGAGAGCTGCCCTCTGAGTCAAGAGACGATTTTGCATCTAGCTGTGCTGCAGTGATTTTGAACACGTTGCACCTGCCACAGCTTCTTTGTTAAACGGTTACTGGGTTAAATGACCTCAGTCAGTGCTTTGGCTCAAATTCCCGTGATTATATATTAAAAAAACTGACCCAGACTACAAAAAGGAAGATGTCTGCCCTGTGCAGAATGACTGCTTGGGATAGTTGGAAAAATAATTCAGTTTTTGTTCATTACAACAAACAAAAAGAAACTATTTCATATTAGCTGCTTTGTGGAGGAAGCATCTTCAGAAGTTTTTTGGGGTTTTTTAGATCCTATTCCACCTCTTAAATGATGCCTATCTTACATATTTAAGGAATCTGATGCTTCTACCAGATGTATGGATGAAAATAACTATGACAGGGAAATGTGTTCCAATTACTTCTTGAAGTACAAAAACTGCCGAAAGTTCTGGGTAAGTCTAGCGAGGTTAGATGAGATGGTCTAACTCATCTGTTAGGCTTGAATCTGAAGCCTGAAATTAATCAGTACCCACAATCCTTCCTTTGGGGTGGCTGTAGGGAAACTTCACCTTTCCACTTTGTCCTCAGTGTGTTATTTTAGCTTAAATAATCCTTGAGAGTTCTTAGTTGCCTCATCCTACTCCAAGGTATAAGGATGCAGTTCTAATATAGGTGGGTCTTCCTAGGTGTGTAAGTATCTGCAGCCTTAAAACAATAACCTTGTTATAATTTTATTTCTCTTGGAGATGAACAGAATGGATAATTTGTCTTGTCATAACACATATTAGGCTTCCATTTCTGCCTCCTGCTCTCCCACTGCCACCCAGGATAGTTTAAATGGTCCCATTTTTCTGGAGACATTGGTATGCAATTTCTGTTTCTCTGAGCACTAGGTCCAGCTGCTTCATTTCTCTCTGCTAAATTAATTGATGGTTTCATTGAAGGACTGTACTCTTGTGCTCTTGTAGTTAAACAGCATGTCCCCATCCCAGTTACCGTTAACGTAGTCCTGTGGGAATAGTCACCTCTACTTAATTCTTAATAGTTTGAAACTTAATCTGAACTCTTACAATTAGTTTTTTGGGTTTTCTTTTTAACCTATTTTTTTTTAAATTTCCTTTTTGGAGAAGCAATAGCAAATTACTGGAAAATAATTAGCAGTTAATACATGACTGAATTTGGTTTCTTCTTTTTTTTTTTTTCCTATATGCAGAATTCTGTCATGGTGCAGAGAAGACAGAATGGAGTGAAGCCACCTATGCCAACAGCAGCAGAAAGAAATGAAATCTTGGGAGCAATGGGAAAGATGCCCTATTGAATGTTTGCATTAAAATGATTTAACTCAAAAGGAGATAAATATTTTTAATAAATGATTACTGTAATCTTTTAAGACCGTACAAACCTTACCCAGACAGATCTTATATTCTGTAAGGGGAGACAAACTTGAGTGAGCCATGTGTCCTTTGTGTTTGCTCTCAGTGCTCTGATGACAGTGTGCCACTATCGAGCGTGTGTGTCAGGGCTCACAGTACTTCCTGGAGTTACGGGGGTGTTAGGAAAGGCTACACGAGGAGCTGGGCTTTTCCTCTGGGTCTCGAAAGAAAAGTAAAGTATGAGAAAGTAAAGACTTAACGAGGAAGTAAAGACTTAATGGGGTGAAAAGAAGGCAGTATTTCATGTGAGCAACAACATGCTAGAAGGAAAGCTCGAGACAAATTCAGAGTTGTCTGTCCACTGTCCCACCTGAGTTTAAGGCCTGTAGAGGAGTAATGGCAGAGATGACTGTGAGTGGCCCCAAATCCGAGGCTCATTACTAAGATCTCTATCCTTACTTCACTCACTTATCTTGGTTTAAATTAGGTCAGTGCATTCGCTAGGCAGGAAGCGGGGCTGCAGGATGGTTGCCTTAAGTAAATGGCATGCAAAAGAACTGGCTTGCTTGCTTTAAGGAAAGGTATGGTTAAAGGACTCTGTGACTAAAATCCATAAATATTGGACAACCTTCTGAAGGCATAGTATTCTTGAACTATGGTAGTGGGGGCGGAAACGTGATTCTCTTAGAAGTAGGATTTTTATTTTCAGGATGCAGTGGGCAGGGAAGGGTATGGGGTTCATCAGGTGAACACAACACTGGGATGAAACTAGAGCTCAACTTCACTTTATGATATAAAAACAATTCATAAGCCTATTGAGAAAGACAAGTATCATATGATCTCACTTATGTGTGGAATCTAATGAACAAAATAAACTGATGAACAAAATAGATCCAGAGACATGGAAGCATGCAACAGACTGATGAATCTCAGAGGGAAGCGGGGTGAAGGAGGAGAGATTAACCAAAGAACTTATATGCATATGTGTATAACCCATGAACACAGATAATAGTGTGTTGAAAGCCTGCGAGGGTCAGGAGCTGGGAGAGGTGATCAATGGAGGACAAAAAAGGGACATCTGTAATACTTTCAACAAAAATTTTAAAAAATATTCAGTATAGTGATGAGTGGATTGCATAGCAGCTCTCATACCCTCTACTTTTAAAAATCCAGTTTGCTTCATTTATAGAGTAGTTTTATAAAAGACATTTAATAATGAAAAATCAACAAAAACAGTTTGTGTACCTTTTCTTCAGGTGGCCCATGATCATCAAAGAGTATAATTTTAATGGCTGCTGACAACAAACTATCCATCTGATTGGTCTTTGTCCAAAATTCAGCTCGGCTGTTTTTAAGCCATAGAGGATCGTCACTGGTACATGTGATTCTATTTGAGTACGATGTGATTTCATTTTGAGTAAAGTTGTATTTGAAATTCTGGATTGTCTCAGAAATTCTTTGATTTGTATTGATGACTCTCAAAGTGATGGATTAAAATAGGACCTGACAAGAAATTAATAAATACTTGAGTGAGAAGCATTTCAGTACTTTCAAGCATGCTTGTTTAAGGATTTGGAATTTAATGTCACCTCTTTCAATGTACATACCAATATCGACACTCATCCTGTAGCTATTTGTCCTGGCATAGCTCTTTTTAAAAATAGCAACTGCATTCAGATACAATTCATATGTAAGTCACCTACTTAAAGTGTATAATACAGTGGTTTTTAATATATTGACAATGTTGTGCAGCCTTCACCACAACGGTTTTAGAACACATTTATCACCCCAGAAGGAAACCCTGTACCCATTAGCACACATTCCTCATTTCCCCCCTAACACCACATTTCTTCCCCAAAACATAGGCAACTACTTACCTATTTTCTTTCTCTGGACACATATATAAGTGGGATCATACAATATGTGGTCTTTTGTGACTGGCCTCTTTCACTTAGCCTCTTATCAAGGTTCATTCATGTTGCCTGCATCAGTACTTTATTCTTTTTTATTACTAAGTAACATTCCATTGCATGGATATACCACATTTTATTTATTGATTCATCAGTGGATGGATATTTGGGTTGTTTCCACTGTTTGGCTAAATATGGGTCATGCCGTTTCCTGAACACTTGTGTACACCTTTTTGTGTGGACATTCATTTCTTTTTGGATATATGCCTGGGAGTTGAATTGCGGGGTTGTAAAGGTAACCATATTTAACCTTTTGAGGAACTGGCCAAGTATTTTCCAAAGTGGCAGCACCATTTTACAGTTTATGAGAGTTTCAATCTCTACACATCTTCATTAGCACTTATTGTCTGTCTTTGATTACAACCATTCTAGTGCGTGTGAACTGGCATCTCATTGTGGTTGTAGATTTGCATTTCCCTGATGGCGAATGAGGTTGAACATCTTTTCATGTGCATATTGGCCACTTGTACATATTCTCTGGAGAAATGTTCATTCAGATCCTTTGTCCATTTTTAAATTGGATTGTGTATCTTCGTTATTGAGTCCTATGTATACTAGATACAAGTCTCATCAGATACATGGTTTGCAGGTTTTTTTTCTCTCCAATTCTTTGGGTTGTATCTTCACTTTATAGTGTCCTTTGAAACACACATGCTTTTAATTTTTTAAAATATATTTTTATTGATTTCAGAGAGGAAGGGAGAGGAAGAGAGAGATAGAAACATCAATGATGAGAGAGAATCATTGATCACCTGCCTCCTGCTGGGGATTGAGCACGCAACCTGGGCATGTGCCCTTGACCAGAATTGAACCTGGGACCCTTCACTCTGCTCTCTATCCACTGAGCCAAACCAGCTAGGGACAGGCTTTTAATATTTAAAAGATATGTTTTTTTATTATTTTTAAAGAGAGGAAAGGAGAGGGAGAGAGAGAAACATTGATGAGAGAGAAACACCAACACTGATTGGCTGCCTCCTGCACACACCCTGCTGGGGATCGAGCCTGCAACCCCCGCATGTGCCCTGAACCAGAGACATCCTGGCGCATAGGTCGATGCTCAACAACTGAGCACACCTGCCAGGCCAAAGGCTTTTAATTTTGATGAAGTCCCATTTGTTTTTTCCTTTTGTTGCTTTTGGTGTCACATCTAAGAAAGCATTGCCCAGTTCAAGGTTACAAAGGTTTACACACATGTTTTCTTCTAAGAGTTTTGTGGTTCTAAGCTCTTATATTTGGGTCTTTGATCCATTTTGAATTAATTTTTGTATATGTTATGAAGTAGAAGTCCAGCTTCATTCCTTTGTATCTAGCTATCCAGTTGTCCCAGCACCTTTTGTGGAGAAGACTGTTTTCCCCTATTGAATTGTCTTGTCACTCTTGTTGGAAATCAATGGCTTGTATTTGCGAGAGTTTATTTCTGGGCTTTCAGTTCTATTCCATTGATAGATATGCCTATCCTTATGCTGGCACCACACTGTCTTGATTACTGTAGCTTTGTAGCAATGCAAAGCTCTTTGATGCTTGGTTACTATACATAGGTTTCCTATAAAGTGCTTTTAATAACAAACTAATTATTTGGGTGTTTTTGATCAGCAAACCTTTACCATCTAATCATAACATGGCTCCACAAAGCTGTTAAATTTTAAAGTAGTCTACAGTAATCCCCTACTTCCTTCTTTGCATCTTTACACATACCCTGATAACTTCAGTATACACGGCTTGTAACCAGGTTGTTCAAGATCTCATTTCATCACTTTGGAGGGGGAGAGTCCCAGGGGTTTCCCTTGTCAGCACTGTTAAATTTGCCACGATCGTATTTCTCGCTTCAAGATTCTACTTTGGGAGAGGAGAAGCTAATTAACCTGATAAATTAATTGTGTTAGGATGTTGGTGAGTGCCGTGAAAAATTTGGGGGTTAGGCAAGCCTTTGATATTAACTATCAACTAAAAATATAGGTAGAAGGCATCTTACCATGTTCACATGCATCTCCCTGTTGTAGAAAGCATCTCAGATTCTCCAAGCCATGGGGAGTGTGGCACACTGTGTAGTGTGTAACAGCAATCCTTTGGAGAATTTGAAAGCTGGAGGATATAAACAATAGTATTCATGGTTATATCCATAACCCGGGTATGCTTTTACTGTGAAAGAAATGTTCAACAAATGTGTATGTGTTTTAGGAGGGATAGCTTTTAAAATTGGACAAATTGAGAACCATGCAGGTTCAAACAATGCAAAAGGCTCCACAATGTAAACAAGTCTTCCCAGAAGCAGCCAATGTTGAGTTTTCAAAATTTTCCGTGCATACTGGTATGCAAACATACCTATATATGTATTTGCTGGTTTTGCACAAAAGGGCCACCATAGTGCATGATCAGGAGGTACCTTGCTTTTTTCACTTAGTGATACCGTTTGGGATAATTCTCCATCAATGATTATAGATTGATTGCATTCTTTCAGTGGCTACAGTTCTCCACTGCTTAGACATTCCATCATTGAATACAGTCTCCCCCTGATGGGTTTGCTATTAGAAACAAAATTGCTATAAGCATCTTTATGTACGCTCTTTGTTCCTGTTTTTATCTATATGATTAATTTCTCAGAGTGCAGTTTGTAGGTTCAAGGTTACAGCATCTGAAAATTTGTAGATATTGAAAGATCACCCCCCACTCCTCCATTTGGAGCACACAAACTTTTACTCCCATCAACAAAGCCTATAGGTGTATCTTTTCACACCCTCAGTCCCACTGTGATACTTTAAAACTCTTTCATCCTTACAATTGATGAGTGAGAAAAGGAATGAGTGTTTTTATTTCCTTTGCTCATTTTTAAAAGACTGTTGGTGTGAATAATTTTGGGAACTCTTTGAATATTAAGAGAATTACCTCCTTGTCGGATATATTTTTTATATTTTGCTTTGTCTTTTAACTTTTATTTCTGTGCAGTGTTTTACCTTTTTAATGTAATTAAATGGACCAATCTTTTTGTTTCTGGTTTCTGGTGCTTAAAACATGTTAAATGAATCCAAA